CGGCAGATATGAACCGAGTCCACATCGCCGGAGGTGGTGAGTGTGTGGGTGACTGACGTGGCGTCAAGAATGTTTTGGTCGTTGATGGCGGTAGCAGAGGTGGTTGTGTTCGACGTCGTTGCAGTATTTTAGGCAAAGTTGGTGGAGGTGGTATTGGCCGACGGCAGTGCGGAACGGGGATTCGAGGTAGCATTGGTCAGGGTGGGCGCTGATGTGGTCGACGTGGAGGTTGGGGCAGGGGCAGTCGTGGAGGCAGCAATTGCGGTCGTTGGGCGGTTGGGTCCGAAGATGAACTACGAGGCCGACCACGCGCGAAATGTTCGTTGGCGGCGCTGTGGCCTTGGGTGGGGCTGAGGGGCGGAATCGGAAGAGTTGAGAATCGGAAGCGTCTGAGACTTGCGAGCAGCCCTTCCGGCCTTGGTGGCGACGATCCGGTCCGCTTCTAAGATGGCTGAGCCAGTCTTCATTTCTCATCCCCAGGACGATCTGTTCTCGTCTTCCAACCCATAATTGTGGTCTCTCTGTGGTCCGGAAATGTTGACACTGCAGTCAGAAGTCCCAGGGAATATACTCGTGATTTGTACTTGCACTTGCAGATCTGACAGCGGCGGGCGTTGCAAGTAACAGAACGTAATCAAATTGACGACATTAGTATGCCATCTGCAATTTATATTTTACTACAATGTGGCTGGTCATGGGGACGTTTCATTCACAACCCATAAACCGAAAAGCTACAGGATCATTCCAAAAATAAATGGATACCCATCTAGACGACCGCTGAAAAAGACCCGTGCGTGCATCTGTGATGGGAGCACCGGACTGAGGAGAAATCACAGCAATTGCTACAATAGAGGCAACAGTGGAACTATATGTCACAGAGTGAAATAACCCGGCAGCTCCGATGTGCACCTCTGAATACTCCTTCCCCGCATTTATGAATTCCTCCACAGAGGGTAAGAACTAGGTCAGCGTTGTAGCCAGTATTATCATTATCATTATCAGCAAACCATGGCCCTGACAGCCTGGGGTGCGCTGGCAATTTTTTGGCACCTGGTTCCATGTCGGTAGATGCGCTTTCGCTCCCCCTGGGTATACAGGTGGTGGGCATAGCTACCCAGTCATCCTCGTCCATCTGACACCTGTTGTTCTTGGTTAAAATTCTGATCAATTGTTGCGTGGACCAGGGAGCGCCATGGTGCGGGCTCGGCCGCGCCACCCACCGGCACCCTCCCCCGCGTCCGGTCCTCTTTACTCTGTCTTGATATCGGTCCCAGGTGGGGGAGGAGGAGAGAGTGCGGTATGTGCAGCGAAAGTCTACATTCACTATAAACTAATTCACGCGCAAATCACTGTGCCTGCTTCACCTTGCTGCGGAGCACACGCTGAACATCGTCAGGCACGACGGTCGAACTGTCGACGTGCTCGCTGACATCATTTGAAACCAGTTGATGAATTCTTGATAACCTCACCCTTACGACTGACGGTCTACAGCTGAACCAAATTCTCTTCAGCCGCGACAAAGTCAAATTGGCGAACACGTGTTTTCAGTAACTCTTCATCAGGCCAAAACGGTTACAATGAAGTTTAAGTTATGCGAATTACATGACTTATAAATGATTCGGGGACAATTAACATCGATCGTTCCCACGCCACTCGCATGACGAGGCGTGCTATGGCGTGGTCGGCGTGTCGTGGTCATTGGGTTCAGGGGGCGAGGAAGAGGGGGGGCATAGGCTGTGAGTACGTCGTGTACCTTGTGCACACACCCTGGCATCAGGAGGTTGGGGCGACGTTGGGGTAGGCGTCGGCCACGGAAGACAGAGCGCCTGTGTCAGAGTTTTCTGACAGCATAGCACTGGATTGGCTAGTCGTATAGCCACTGCCTCAGCTGTAGCTAGCACCCGTTGGCGTAGGCCTTAACTTAAACTTCATTGTAACCGTTTTGGCCTGATGACGAGTTACTGACAACACTTGTTCGCCAATTTGACTTTTCAATTGTAACATGGGAATATTCGCTGAACTTTAAATGTTCTTAATTTCGTCCTCAAACACGCACACCCATCACGTGCGCAACTGCAGACGGCTGAGGCTCATGGCCATCTCCCCGACCTTTCGGGCGAGCTGCGCCGCTCTTGGTGCGTTGGCTCCCACTATGGCCTTTTTGCCGCAGTCGTTTGACCACCCCTCGCCTCCCCACCCCCCCCCCCCTCCCCCAATGTGTGTTTTCCCCTCGCAGTGTGGCAAAACCCAGGCGCGCACACGTCCGCACATATCGATCGCTCGCGCGCGCTGTCAGAAGGCTGAAAGCCCCAGCTGCGCGAGAGGCAGCGGACGCATCGATTTTGCGTGGACGGCATTTTTTACCTGACTCAGGCGTCTCACACTCCGACTGGGTTGACGTATCGGCCCGAGCAGGCTGCTAAGTGCCTGGGCCTGTGAACTTCAGGAACGTCCCTAAAAGCGAGAGCCGCTTGGCGCTTTAACCGGCTGCCGTAGACTGAAAAGGGCCTGAGGTTGAGAGGAGTACTACTTCTGAAGAGGACCTGTCTGACCGCGTTAAACGCCCTGCTTGCACGCAGGCATCGGCACGGTTTACTAGCGTAGGGACCGTCGTCTCAGCCATCCAAAGAGTGCCAATTTCTCTGCTATCCAATTCTGGGTCGCCGTGGCTATGCTATGGCGATACGTTGACCACACTTTGAAGCTGAGGTCCCAGCTCTAGTCGGTACTCCCTATCTGATGAGGCAATAAATTGTCGCCATGTTGCCTGCTTCGATCGCGAGGACGACTTGTCAACAATATCGCCCCAGCGAATCCTGATCATCGTCAATGCGGCAACCATTGTGCTTACCGATGGATCGCTAATCGAACAACCATTGCTTATAGCCCAGCGAGTAGCCAACACTGGTTCATGCCGTAGACTTTGACATCAGCCAATAGGGGTGTATAGAAGACCAGCGGTGAAATAAACCTGAACATTCATGCATAAAAACAGACGGGACCGAAAACGAACTTCTTGTGTAAATGGATTGAGACAGTTACATGGAGTAGTATGTCCTTTTAAGTGCAGGTGCCCGGAGGTTTGATTCCTCCCCCGTTGGCAGTCTCCAGCTCCACCTTTCCCAATTTACATTTAAAATTTCTCTCAGTATTTGACCACTAGCAATTGAAAGTAACTTGTTGTGTAAGCTTGTCGTAAATGGTAATGTTCTCACGAATTAACGAGTTATATCTCATGAGCCCCCTAGCCTTAAAAGCAGCAAGTAAAACTGAGCAGTGAATAATATAGAGATTTTGAACGTTAAGAAAACTTGACAATAGAGCACGACGGCGGAGCACGCTCGCAAGGCGGGTTGTCAGGTGTGTTGTTTTTCGTCACATTCAAAAAAGCAATACGGTCAAAGAAAATGGGACTAAATTGTCAAAGGTAAATTAGTCAGGTACCTCACCACAGTACCCCCCCCCCTTCTAGACCGGAGGGCGACGGGATACGGCGCCTGAGGATATGCATAAGTCTAGAAAAAAATGCGTAGCTAAACGATCGGGAAAATGAACGTGACGGCCACTGCGGGTGATGTAAGTAGGAGGTACAGTCGAAGAGGGTTGACTGCGTGCTATGGTGGAGGATGATGTTGCAGTTGGATGCTGTAGACATGTAGGGAGAGGAAGTATGCGGGACGGAGGGGTAGAGGGCAAGGGAGGTGAAGGGCAAGGCAGTGGGTGGGGGGAATGAGCAGGGGACAGGGAAGATGGAGGAACAGGGGTTAGGGGGTCAGCACATTTTTGTCCTTGTGACAGGTCCGGCGGCTCCTCTGCCACAGCAGCCTTGACCCGATTGACAATGACCACGTCCTCCTTGTCACCGCGAAGAATCCAGCAGGTCTTGGCGTTGCGCGCGAGCACGCGGAACGGTCCTTCGTATGGTGATTCCAGCGGCTGGCGCACACGGTCACACCAGACGAACACATGAGTACACTTGTCCAAGTCTTTTCCGACATAAGACTCAGTCATTGGAGTTCGAGGTGGAACCGGGGAAAGCGAGCGCATAAATTGCCGCAAACTGTGCACAAAATTGTCAGGAGTATCGTCGGCTCCACGAGAGGTTGGGATGATCATCTCGCCTGCCAGTCGGAGGGTAGTGCCGAAAACCAATTCAGCTGCGCTACAGCCCAGATCCGACTTCAGAGCTGCGCGGATGCCGAGGAGTGCAAGAGGAAGGTTGTCCGACCAGTTTCTTGGGTCTTCTTTGACACGCAGCGCAGTCTTTAGCTGGCGATGGAAACGCTCAACCATATCGTTGGCAGCTGGGTGGTAGGCTGTCGTCCGAATGCGTGTGCAGCCAAGGAAATTGAGTTGTGTTTGGATGAGTGCAGACTCAAACTGGGCACCACGATCAGTCGTAACCGTGTATGGGGCACCGAACATGGCGACCCAACGACTGACGAAGGCCTTCACGATGGTTTCAGCCTGCACATTCGGCAAAGGAATAGCTTCAGCCCAGCGGGTATATCGATCGACAGAGGTAAGGAGGCGGGTGAAACCATTAGATGGACGCAAGGGGCCTACGACATCCAGGTGCACATGGCTGAACCGTGCGTCGGGACTGGGGAAAGTGCCTGGTGAGGACTTGTTGCGACGCTGCAGCTTGCTGCACTGGCAGCTCAGACACGACCGGGCCCAAGCTTTGACGTCCTTGTTCATGCCAGGCCAGGCAAACCTCTCCGCAAGGAGCTTTTGAAAGGCTCGGATCCTAGGGTTGGAGAGTCCATGCAGAGCTTGAAATACAGCTCGACGCATCGAGGCGGGCACAAAAGAGCGGTAACTACACCTGTTATTACGCCTTCTCCAACTAGACCGGCAACGCCGACTGCTCTTCACCTTACACCGTGTTTGCTGATAAGACGGAACTCCCCCCCCCCCTCCCCAACCGCCTTCGCTACACCCTTCCCCAACCTGGGGGGGCTCCAATTTTCAAGTGCATAACCTCCTGGCAGTCGGCAATGCTCTTGTCCTTTCGGCCGTCCGATTTCTTTAAACGGACCAACTTCTCGTGTCTCTACTTCATTCGTACAACGACTAGGATACCGAAAATTGAGTGGTTTTTCTTGCACATTAACAGCGAATTGTCAGCAATTCCAGAGCATGATCTTCTTAATCAGCACAACATCTCCACAGAAGAGCTCTCCTGTCCGCCAGAAATACTGGACGGCCTCCATGGAATCTACGAAGAGGACGATTTCTACGGCATTTGGAATCGTTGTTTCCGTTCCGTCCTCACTCTCAATTATCGGGCTCTTGGACAGGACGGAGAGTACCTATGCCAAGTCACCACACAGGAAGGCGTCGATGTAGAGATGCCTATCCGGTTCCATTTCCCCCTCGGTTATCCCCTGGAAAGACTGGTTCGCCTGCGTCTTGGAGAGGGAGAAGTCCCGACTTGCGTCAGTGAGACCCAAAACGTTGCGCACAACCTCTCGCGCAGGGATCTCGCAAACAGACTAAACGCCTGTCCGAAAAACGCCCTCCTCTTCTCCTGGCTCTCAAGTAACCGTATCTGCACAGGCCAGTCAGTGGAACTGAATTGCGCGTGGCCAGCTTGGCAGGAGATAAGCACCAACTACCTGCGCATGTATTCTCTGTCTGACTCCAGATGAGAAGGTTGCGTGTTTGTATCACGTTGAGGTCACCAATGTCGTAAATGGTAATGTTCTCACGAATTAACGAGTTATATCTCATGAGCCCCTAGCCTTCAAAGCAGCAAGTAAAACTGAGCTGTGAATAATGTAGAGAGTTTTGAACGTTAAGAAAACTTGACAATAGAGCACGACGGCGGAGCACGCTCGCAAGGCGGGTTGTCAGGTGTGTTGTTTTTCGTCACATTCAAACAAGCAATCCGGTCACGGAAAATGGGACTAAATTGTCAAACGTAAATTAGTCTGGTACCTCACCGCAAGCTAGTAGACATTTTGTCGATTTCAAATCACTTCTGTAGAACTGTCTTATTGTTGGAAGTTTGATATGGCGCACATGAGTTCTGGTATGCCTACCTCAGAAAGCGAAGGAAATACGTGAAAGGGCTTTGTAGTAAGTATGCATATTATCTACAAAACCGGGAAGTAGGCAATAAGTAGACGATTGAAAAGCTCGCATATTACATGCTATATAAAATATTATTAAATCAGGGACCGTGGTCCCATGGTGTAGTGGTTAGCACTCAGGACTTTGAATCCTGCGACCCGAGTTCGAGTCTCGGTGGGACCTACTTTTGCGAACCGAAGCAAAGGACGTGGCTCGAGACTGAAGCTCTCGATTGTGCGTCTCAACCTTTTTATTTTCAATGTCTTCAAAACTCACTCGTAAATGGACTATCTATTCATAAGGTACGTGAAGCAGTCGGGCCTGCTCACGGGAGCTGTACTATCGTACCGTTCCCCATTACGAAATAGCGCTGTTCAACAACCATAGTTCTAAATCCATGTTATTTTACCACCTTTCCGCGTCTCTGACTGGCCCAATTCACACCAAAAGGCGCACACTAAAATATGGAACTCGCTCATTCCAAACCTGCTGTTTCAACCATGGTTAAAACAGGAGTAAACATAATTGTGAGTAAAAAGGGACAACGGAGAACACAAAGACAAGTGAAACAAGGCAAAGACAGGTAAGGTTGGCAATGGCAGCGTTGAGCGAGACACGGCGTGCGCAGTGCAGCGTGAGAAAGCAAAAAGTGGCCCCGGCGAGAGCGGAAGGACTATCGGCCGCCGAGGCTAATCGATAATCAAGTGCAAGTATGCGCGGCCGCTTGCGCCCTTCGCGACGCCGGCGCACCCGACCCGGGAACCAATCAAATCGCGAGCAAGCTAAAGACCCACTACCTCCCTAGAGTACGTTAGGTCGCGGCGAGCTCGCTTGCTATTAGGGCATGAGTCATTCAGTACTCGTATTTGCCGCAGGTAACCATCTTGATGTTTGTAATACACAACGACAATCTCGGTATGACAAACACCGATTACCCACGTGTAGGAACCATGCCTAAATCCAAGTGTATGAACTCAAGTGAGCGATTAGCATAGTTCACCATGTTATAAGACTGTAGACAATCTTACGGAGACCTACAGCGTCGGGGATGTAGCTCAGTGGTAGAGCGCTCGCTTTGCATGCGAGAGGCCCCGGGTTCGATCCCCGGCATCTCCAGCAAACCGCAATTTTGCGCCTTCAGTCCCGCGTACGATGACAGCTGTAGATGTGTGGTATTTTAGTTAATCTTGTTCATTTTCACTTATATCGAAGGGAGGCGAAAGTTTTATTTCCAGGTTTGAGTGTAAGCTTTGATTTATGTTGTTCCGGCGCAAACCCCACCTAACCCCCTCTGGCACCTTTTCGCTGGCCAGGACAATAACCGGAATGGACAAGCCTGTCGACGGGCTGGCCCCACTGCCACCAGTTATCACCAGTTAGTACGGATGTATGAAACCGTCGGTGAGATGTACGTAATACAGTTACAGTACCGTTTATGTGCATCAACTTAGCGATTAAAAGGAGTGTATACAACCGTCACTTCGGTCGATTATTGTAAAGCGTATTCCGGGTACCGAAGCAGTCTACGTCTATGCACTCCAGCTTCAGGCTGTCCCGGGCGAGCACAACGGGTGTAACCGGTGAGGGGTCGCGAAAATGGCACCCACGGTGGGACTCGAACCCACAATCTTCTACTTAGGAGGCAGACGCCTTATCCATTAGGCCACGCGGGCACGACGTAGGCCATAATTGGTCCATAGTTAGTCGCATTTCCGTTAGGCTAGATCCTTCGTGTCATGGTCGTCGAGGTTAACACACACCGAGGTAGTGAGCACTGGGAACGAGACCTGGCTAAAACCGAGCTGGGGAGAGCAGTAAAAAATATCGTCGTTCTCATCCAAAGAAGCGTGGAAAAGTCAAACAGTGCGAAATAATTACACTAGAAACCGGGAATTAGGTACGTTGGAGAATGGTAAATGATACGGGGATGGATGAGAGATACAGCAGGTAGAATGATCCGCCTGGATGGAGAGGTGACACCAACATGTTCGCTAGACAACCGATGGGGATTGAAGGCCTGTGGACAGCTGCAGAAGAGGCCTGCAGGTGATGCCGACGTAGAGAGGAGAGAGAGAGAGCGCGAGCGCTAGCGCAGCTGCGTTTAATTGAGGGTGGGGGGTCGGCGACAGAGTCAAAAGGGCACCGTATGTTTTTGCCTACACGCGTTTTCACCATCTCTGCCCTAGATCCCATGTTAAAAGTGTTCACGGCATTCAAACAACTCAATTCAATTCCTGGTCCGTTCCAGTAGATCATAAGCAAGGATGCCGAAAATCAGTCAGAATTTCGAAATGACTGGTCATGGCAGATGGCCGAGCTAGCAAGCGCCGAGTGAAAGGACGACGGCCAAAAGAGCAATAACCCGAAATCCAGAGGCCCGTTTCCTACACTAAAGCAGTTTCCGGGGTATTCACCTGACTGTTACAACCCGCCAGCGTCGGCATAGTCCACTGACCCCAGGCAGCAATTCGTCGCCGTTTGGCGCAACCCAGGGATACACTGTCAATCATCGAAACCTCCGCTGTTGTTTGCCAATTAGGTTGCTTTGATGAGGGTTGTAATTACGTCGGGGAAATTGGAACTGGAAAGTAAATGTTAGTACTTTACCTGTTGCCCTCAGTAAATAAATAATTATATTTAGCGGTCGTGAGAGTACTGTCATTTCAAATCAAAAATACATCAAATGGTTATTCATTGGCCAATCTTGATCGAATTAGCAAACCTGTGCAGTGTTCAAGTTGTGTTTATGAGAAAAAACCGACAGGACAGGGAAGCAAAATATGCATGTTAGACGGGACCGCCCTGCAGGTGGCAACATCCATGGACTCGAAACGCCCCTCGTCGAGGTGGAATCCCTAAGCCGGATGAGGTTACTCACTGTAGATACGATCATATTATCATTCCGGGTGACTGAAGAAATAATCGTCAAAGTGGCGAGACAGGAGAAGCCCACCGCCGTCGCCCACTGTCCGCCAAGTATCGAAACGAAGAGCGGGTATTAAAAGGTCACGAACAAAATAGAAACGCGGATAGGTGCCGCCAGGATACATCTTCGCTGACCGAAGAAACCATCAATAAGTTGGCGAAACAGAGGAACCGGCCGCGATCGTCTGGGTGCGATGCCAGAAGAGAACGTTACAAGTCGCAATGATCATCGCCGCAAGATATAGTATCAGTAAATTTATCGAACTATTAACAACTAGAGGTTGTTCAAATTCGAGTGGGGATTTCCGACTGAGGAATAAAAACATGTACTATCCTCCCTTAAATTCCAGGCGGACCCTTTCTAAGGTCAAGAAGTTGAGTGTTCGGGAATGAAGTTGCCTGTCATGACTTTACACTTCTCGGGGTAAGGTGCTGGCGTAATTTCAAATCGAATACCGATAGTCTAGGTGTCGACCTGAGTTCTAGGGAAAACTTATTCCAAAAAAGAGCCTTCTGGACGCTAAAAATAAAACTACTTTATTATAATATTATTTTCACGCAAAAAACAACGAACGTTTAGACGTAGAGCAGGAAGGCGGTGTAATAAACGTGGGGGAATTAGACGGGACATAAGGTCGGTCTACCGGAATGAGAGCGTCAATACGCGGAAGATAAAGGGTAGAATTAATGCGAAATGGAAAGCAAAGGTCAGCTTGGAGTCCTTTAACTTATAAAAACCCAGTCTTCGCCAACTGCCTTCCTTCAGTATAAGAACTACTAGATTAAGCTTGAGAGGAAAGACTTCGAGTAAAGACTCTCCGAACATTTTAGATTTTACCACGTTTGCATGCATTCATTAGACCAAACACTGGACATCACTATTCAAGAATGGGAAGAACAAACATGCGGAAAAGTCTTAGCTTGATTTCGGGAAGAAAAAATTGTATGACATGAACCCACATATCTGCGTAGCATCTGCAGAAATTTGATTTGCGTGAGGGGATAAAACAAACTCATTTGTATAACTTAGGTCCAGGTCCTTTGTCGTGGGGCATTCTGACAATGGGTTCTTTTGAAAGGTTATGAGGCCTGGAAGCTTGTAGGGGTCAAAAGGCATGAAACTACACTTGGACTATAAAAACTCCAGCTGCCAAATTGAGCTCCATTTCCGCAAACATAATAGATTGGAATTAATTTTTTAAACGCCAACTTTGCCAATGGCTTCTAAACAGGGAGAAACACATTCAAAGTCATCAGCAGAGACGAACGTTTGCGAATTCCCGACAACTCTCAAAGTACCATTGATGTAAAAAAGGAAGAGTAGCTGACCCAGAACCATGCCTTGAATTATGCCACTCAGGACTGAGTGAGGCGTCGAGTGGCAATTACCAGCCATGACCTTCTAATGGTGGTTGGGTAAATAGAACCCGATGAAGCCGTGCAGAGGAGGACGGATGCCGAGGGCTTCCAATTTTACTGAAAGATGTCTATGCAGCACACTGTCGAAGGCTTTACTAAGATTAAAGAAGATTACCACTTATTACTACTCATAACGAAGAGAAGTGGCGAAATTAACAAAGGCTATGTGACAAGTTTCGCAAGATCCTTCAAGTAAAAATCCATGCTGAGTAGAGCTCAGTAGCTGGCTGGA